CTCGACAAAAGCGAAGCCAACTGGTCTCGCTCAGATTCCGACTTCAGTGGACCGACTGCTGCGTAGGGGTCACGACCATGAGCAGTGCGACGGGGCTTCACTTCCGGAGCAGCAGCAAATACGGGCTGTGCATACTGGTAAGGTACGGTGCGGGCCTGCTCGCGAGCATAAATAGCACCTACCTCGATGGCCTTTTGGACCGCCGCATCCAAATCAGTGGGCCGAGGTGACGCCAACGCCAAGCGCAAATCCTTCGATGCCTGGCCATCAATAAAAAGTTGCAAAAGCATTGAATCAAGCAGTGCACCTTGTTGTCCTGGGTAGGCTCGACGAGCCAGCCGACGAAGTTCCGTGGCATACCCGTGCTGAGTTTCACTCGCCAGCTTCACTCGCTGGCGAAGACTGGCCTCGTGCATCAATGCTTGCTGGGGCGGCTCAAGACGGACATGCAGAGCCTCGACTGCGTCGGAAAAGCTTATGTCACGCGTGTGAGTTAGAATTTCGGTGAACATCTCATGAGCTGTACCAACAAGGCGAGCAGGTAGTAGCCGTAGCTTTTGTTCGTCGTCGTACCCACTCAGCTCGCATGTGTGGACGAAATGCCTCATGTACGTGGTGAAATCTTGGCCTGGCTGATTTCCGAATGTCTCAGGAAGCAAAACTGGCTTCGGCAGTGGACGTGCATGTGGTGTGTCTGTGTCCGACAAACGAAAACGATGGGACAACCCTTGTACCGGCGAACTCTCACGCTCTTCAGCAATGCTCATGTCACAGCCAGCTTCAGCGAAGCTACGCTCTAGCTTTTCTTGTCTCTTGGATTTCGCTGAACGGCCCATTGTGAAAAAAAAATTGTTTTTGTATTTTTTGAATTTTCGAAAAAAAATAATCAGCAAAAATTTCCCGTAGACTCGATCGCCTATCGATATCGATCTCAATCTATTACGTAACCTATCGTGCGTAGCGGCAAACAACTAAATTTGGCAGAGACAATTCCAAATAGGCAACTACTCTACGGACACAGTGTAGACTCTATTACCCAGCTAGCAGTTATCCTATTACAGAAAACACGGGCACAGAAAATGTTCCGAAAATGTTTGGCCAGACAGGTTGGCGCCAATGCTTGACCTATGGACTGTAAACCATGGTAAACAATGCATGCAACAAAAAAACGACGAGCAGAAAGAAACACAATGCAGAAAGGAAAATATCGACGAAGACAGTGGATGAGGATATGGTTTCACTTGCGTGGGCCTTCGTGGTTCTTCATAGTCGGCGATCTCCGAAGGCGTACATACTCCGCCAGCGATGTAGTGGTGGACGTTTTCCGCTGCCACCAGTGTTAGCTGCTCCAGGCTAATGATGTCCCCTCACACCGGAACACAAGGGTATTATGATTGGATAATTAGAAGTATTCGATAAGAGTGTAAACAGAAGGAGAACAGGACAACGACAACTCAAGACTAACTACAACAGACAGAACCTGGAGCATGCGCTCTTCTATGTGAGTGGCTCATTGCCAAGGGGAACGAGCGGGAAATACGAATAGTAAGTATTCAGGTCGTAGCATACATACACCTATTACATATGCAAAGCTTGGTGTGTGTGGGTGGGGGGAGGAGGGGGGGGGGGGGCTCACGGGTGCCCGCACATGATTTTCCTGGTTCTGTATGGTTCTCCTTTCTGGTGTCTGCAGGAACAAGAAGGTAGTGGCTTTACAGTACAGGAGGTTCTTGTGAATGCGTATTTGTGAACCGCATCCCGAGACACAAATAGAATTGCCAAGAGATCATGACATTACACTATACCATGTGTGTTTACGCCAGCCTGTGTAGATGAATATTGCCCTTCATGCGTATCTTTGTTTTTGGAGTCTGCTGCTATCACCGCAAGTGACAACCAGCTAGTGCACGCCCAGTGCAGTGGCTGGTTGTCATGCTTTTATCTACACTAAGCTTACTATGGAATAGTAGTGGGTTACAGTGCGTGCGTGGATGTGGGTTCATGTTTATATGCATGTGCAGGCACGCTTTGTGAGTGTTTAGTGTGCCTGATTCTACATGCGTATTTTCACATCATTAATGCGTCAGTTTCAATTTGGTTGGGGTTATAGAGTTTTAAGCAAAGAGATCCTTTGCTTTGGAGATGATTTACAGTTTTCTTTGCCGTGCCCGGTATGTCAACCAAGTGCTTCTGACTGGTAGCATAAGAAATCCAGGTTGATAGCCAATCACGCTACTCCAGTACTGCAGTAGCGGCTATGTGTGCACTTACCCCCCCCCCCCCCCAATATTAGACACCCTTAGCAAACAACGGTAACGCTATTTGTTACGGTACTCGTACCTTGATCACCCAAATAGCGTTGAAACTGCAGCGTAAAAAGTACTAAAAACGGTATGAGGGCTGATTTATCGTTGTGACCAACGGTAAGTGTTTTGGCCAAATATTGCATAGTTCGTACGCAGTTCACCTTGTATCTCGTATATGGTGACATAAATGGTTGTACCACGCGAAATAATAGCTAATCTCGTGGCAACAGCGTACTAAAAATAGCGTCCATCTTGCTAAAGGTCGAACACAAATCACGGTATTTTCCCACTTATGAGTATTTTCCCCATTACAGTAATACCGTTACAACATAACGTTTTTTGCTAAGGGTGTCTATTGTCCACTTACCCTCCCCCCCCCCCCCTCATGGCCACTTCCTCTCCCCAATACCCACCCCCTCCCCCTCCCCCCCCCCCCCCCCAATGTCCACCTACTGTGGCATGCTCAAAACTACACCCATTCTCATGCCACTTTTAATCAGATAATACAACTCGGAAGCCTGTGTACGTGTACGTGTATGTGTATGTGTATGTGTATATGTTGGTGTATGTGGGATTCTACAGCCTTTAGCAAGATACACGCTATTTTTAGTACGCTGTTGCCACGAGAATAGCTTCGATTTCGCGCGGTACAACCATTTTGTTCACCATATACGCGATACAAGGTGAAATGCGTACGGACTATGCAATATTTGGCTAAAACACGTACCGTTGTTCACAACGATAAATCAGCCCCCATAACGTTTATACGCTGCAGCTTCAACGCTATTTGGGTGATCAAGGTACGAGTAACGTAAAAAATGGCGTTACCGTTGTTTGCTAAGTTCGCGTTCAGAGTGGCGTAAAAAACAAGCGGAATGTGAAAGTTGTCAAGGTGAATCGCTCACGTGACGTTCCCGCCAGCGTAAACACGGAAAAGGTTTCCCACCACTCTGCAGGCCAGTGGAATGCAGATTCCGGCGGCACGCGGAGCGCTTTTGATATCCTTGCAGCACATGTTCCATCTTTTCGTTTTATTTCAGCCTCTACTCTTGCAGTCTGACTGCATGCTTTTGAGTTTTGAGTTTTGACTTCTAGACTGCCAACTTCTCCCATCATGCCAAAATCTTTGTTCGACTCAGCAATGGAGAGGGAGTTCATGGAGCTGTACGTGGCGATTTTTGCGGGCCGCTCTGCAGGCAAAACGTTACTGCGAACGAGAAGCATACTCTGATCGCGGAGCGGATGAATGCCACCCAAGCACCAAACACTCCGGACATAGTATTCTTTCCGTCGACAAGCCCAAGCAAAAGCACAATGATCCAGTATCTCAACAGACTGAACTAGTTTATTTTGATGTCCAACTTAAACTGAGTCAACTCAAATAATTCAAATGTCGAAGCTTCACATGTACTGGCCATTCCAGCGGGATACACGTGCAGTGGGATTGCGATTCCCGGGATTACGCTGCAGCTTTCCGGCGGCTATTCACGCCAGTCTGAACGCGCCCTTAGGGTGTCTATTGATCTCTGTGCAACTTAACGCTCAGTCCCTGAAAGAAAACCATGATATTGTATTGCTCTGTATAACGTGATACAGAACAACGGCTGAGATTACTCAGTCTGTCAATTGATTAAATCCTGAGCAGAGTTGGCCACACACATTCATAGAGTATCACTTGATAGTAACAGAGCAGGAACTTACTAGACACACAGATTGTTGGACGTGGTACGGTGCAAAAGTCTTGATGTGTTGTGTTGGTTGATGGTTGGTAGGTAGTGCAATGAGACCCATTCGTGGCTTTGGTATATACCCGTATGTAGCTGACGTTGTTGTTACTCAAGACTTGAGAAGTGGTCAGCAGTTGTGAGGCACAGCTGAGTTGCTGAATGTCTGTAGACAATGGCCAACCACCATACTGCTGACGACACACCCGATGTGCACTATGAGATGAGAATGAGATGCTATGGTATGTATACCTGTGTGAGTCACACACTATAGAAGCTACTAGTGTATCTACAGCAACACACAAGAGTAGAACAGATATACAATTATGCCATCTCAGTATCACACGTTATGCAGAGTGATGATCAGTATCACACGTTATGCAGAGTGATGATCAGTATCACACGTTATGCAGAGTTATGATCAGTATCACACGTTATGCAAAGTTGTGATTGTAGTGGATCTGGGTCCATATTTGTGTTATAGTGTTAGACTTTTGTCTATGCATTAATCTACCCCAGTGCCCCGTCAATGACTCCCATTGCTACGAATGCGGTGCACACTAGTACTAGCTGTTGTAAGCCCTTGCTTTCTTTTTATTTTGCTGACCCCTACAGCTCTATCTTTTGTTTTTGGTGCGTGTTTCTGGCCGTGATGCCGCGACCTCAGGTCGACAGAGCAATCAATGCCCCACCATCACTGCTGCATCTCGGTGCAGCCTCTTCTCAGCAGTTGTCACGTTTGTCCTTGTCCCAGTAACATTTTCTTTCATTACTTTGGACGAGTTGGGTATGTGACCATAGTAAAAAAATGAAAAATAAATAAATGTCTGACTGGTGACATCATGCATACTACACACGTGCACCATACGACCTTGCGGCATTCACACTGTATGCTGATGGCAAAGCATGCTAATTTATCTATAGGTGTTATTCTAGGACAAGTAGTGTAGTTACAGTAGGATTTGAGGCCATGGTTCGCTTCCAGCCAGCTGCGGCTTTCAATTTTAGCTCCCCGGACCGATGGCCCGCGTGGAAGCTCAGGTTCTCACGTTTCCGAATGCCTGCGAAATTGTCGACAGAGACCGAAGAAATCCAGGTCTCCACTTTACTGTATAGTCTCGGACCCGACGCCGACCCTGTGTTTGAATACCAGCTGGGCTTGTCTGACGCCTACAAAAGGAAATATGCTGAGGTTGTCGAAGCATTTGACACGTACTTCCGTCCTGCAACGAATGTCATCCATGAGCGGGCACAATTCAAACAACTCATCCAACGACCAGGACAAACTCTAGAGGAATTTGTCCGCGATCTATATAAGGGAGCAGAATTCTGTGACTTTGGCGGAGAGAAGGATAACCGGATCAGGGACCGTATTGTGGCGCACATGTGCAACAAGCGCGTCAGCCGTGAGATTCAGATGAAGGAGGCGTCCGAACAGACCCTTGCCAAGGCACCCGCGTATGCCCGGCAAGCGGAGAAAGTTGAGGACCAGGTTGCAGCTCAGGGTCGCTCTGCAGCTGCTTCGTTGGTATCGGAGCCAGTCTCCTCATCAGCCGTCTCTCACCGCCCTGGGAACTCGGGACGCAAGCAACCCACGCAGCAGCAGCCCAACAGTGGCGCCCATGGGGAGTGCTTGGACTGTGACCGCGCTCATGCTCAGGGTAAGTGCCCAGCTCGCGGCAAGTCGTGTAATGCGTGCGGTCCAAACGCCAGGTATCCGATGTCTCCGAGTCTGCACCAGTGCGTGACAGTGACAGTGAAACTGTATTCATCGGTTCTGCTGAGTCAAGTGGGCCTACTTCACCGTGGTTTGCTGATGTGCGAGTTGTAAACCACACTGTTCTATTCAAGCTGGACACAGGCGCGGATGTTACAACGATGTCATTCATTCAAAAGACTGTCGCCAACACCTAGACTTTCTGCCTCCACAGCACCATTCAGCTACGTGGCCCTCATGATCACCTCTTACCTGTTCATGGCGTTTTCACAGCACACTACTCACATCGCCACAGATCCGCAGACATTCCTGTGTATGTCCTGGAAGGAGCTACCACTTGCCTCCTAAGTCGTTCAGCATGCTCTGATCTCGGTTTGATCCAGGGCCTGGGATCTGTGCACAACAAACCCGAGTTAGTACAGTGTATGAAGGGCCCAGCTGTTAATATCCAGCTCACGTCTGAAGCCACACCTTACCACTGCATGACTGCTCACCACTTCTACTTCAAAGTTCGCGACGAACTGTCGCGCATGGAAGAAGGTGACATTATCGCAAAGGTGGTTGAGCCGACTGATTGGTGTTCACCAATAGTTCCAGTGTTAAAGCCAAATGGGAAAGTGCGCATCTGCGTTGATTTGAAGCACCTCAAGGCATGCGTGAAACAAGAAACTTTCCAGCTCCCAAAACTGGATGACGCACTTGCTTCGCTGGCTAGTGCCACCTTGTTCTCAACACTAGACGCAGCTAAGGGTTTTGGCAACTGCCGCTCGCGCCAGACGCTGCGCACTTGACGACATTCATCAAACCGTTTGGCCGGTATTACTTCAAGCGGCTGCCATTCGGTATTACTTCGTGTGAAGGAGAGGACAAATCAACAACTCAATCTCATTCCTCTAACCGACAACTAACCCTGAAGGGCTGTCATCCTTGTTATTTTATCTTTGTGTTCGAAACTATAAAGTTGTACAATATGTGAGTACTAGAAAAGGTACTGGTAGTACAGGAAGAAGTACGCAGCATGCGCTTCTAATGTCATATATGGAGAGGTGTAAATATGAGGATGTGAAGGATGTTATAGTTATATGTATAGGGATATTTAATAGCACCAATATGATATAGTCCCAATATCACAAGAGCGAGTTTGGAAGCTTTGGTACAACTCTGAGTTTCACGTATTACTACGATCATCAGGCAACAGTTCCAATATCATCACACCATTCCCCTTCTCCGGTCACAGATACCATCCGTAGTGTGACAATGACTAAACGAGAAACAATAGATATACATATAAGATGTAACGGCACTAAAGGATATAAAGGTACAATATCATCACACCATTCCCCTTCTCCGGTCACATATACCATCCGTAGTGTGACAATGACTAAATGAAGAGAGAAACAATAGACGAAGAAGATAGGAGCAACACAGCAGGAGAAGAAAGTCACATCTGGCGAGACAATGCATCGGCGTTGCCATTGAGGGCGCCAGGCCAGTGTGGTGAAGGCCGTCTTGGCACACGCATCCTCTGCCGGAGGGATCTGCCAATACCCCCTGGACAGGTCAAGGGTGGAGAGAACTGGGCAGACCCGACAGAGTCAAGGATCTTGTCCACCAGCGGCATCGGGTGACAGTCGAACTGGGCCACCTGATTAAGGGCACGGTGGTCAACACAGAAGCGGATGGAGTTGTCCTTTTTCGGCACAAGCACAACAGGTGAGGACCACGGACTGCGGGATGGGCGTATGACGCCCATGTCAAGCATTTCGTCGACAGCATCGCGGACAACAGAATGGTGTGCAGCGGCAAGACGATATGGCCGGGATCGAATGGGTGTGGCGTCGCCAGTGTGGATGGAGGGAGCCACCACGGTCGTCCGGCCAGGCTGGGGTGAGAGAGTATCCTCAAACTCCGATAGCAGCATGTCGAGCTGCTGCCGCTGGTCCGGCGAAAGGTCGGGGTTAATGGTAGGATGGCCACCATCAACGTGTAGAGGTGAGCTGTCGTCGAGCAGCAGCTCCGTGTCTGGGTCGTCCTCCGCCATAGGAACGGTGAAGGGCGCGAGCTGGGGCCGGCAAAATCTCCGTAGGAGGTTGATGTGGAAAACCCGATATCGCTTCATGCGGTGGGGTCCCATGTCAATCCCATAATTGACCTTGTCGACCTTGCGCCGAACAGGGTAAGGGCCTTGCCACACGGCTTCCATCTTGCGAGCCGAAGCCGGAAGCAAGAGCAGTACCTAGTCCCCGGAGCAAATGTGCGTTCCCGACTCAGGCGGTCATAGTAGGCTTTCTGCCGTTGCTGCAAGGTGGGAGCCAGCCTCAGTCGATATTCGTTCAAGCCGGGCTCGCATGGTGAGTACGAACTGGGCAGTAGTAGTCCGGAGCTCCTCTGCTGGCTGAGCCCAAGCATCGCGCACGAGATCCAGTGGGCCGCGGACATGGCGGCCATACAATAGCTCAAATGGTGAGAAACTAGTGCTGGCTTGAGGCACCTCTTGATACGCAAATAAAGCATATGGGAGCACCTCGTCCCAACTTCGCCACACATCAGCAGCAAAGCGACGAAGCTTACTCTTGAGGATAGCATTGAACCGTTCAACGAGGCCATTGGTCTGTTGATGGTACGGAGTGGATGTGGTGAGCTGGATACAGAGTAAAGCAGCAACTTGCCGGAGGACGTCCGATGTAAAGTTGGAGCCTTGGTCAGAGAGGATTTTGTCTGGCAGTCCTACTCTGGAAAAGATGGACATCACTGTGACGCATCAGCCACGGTAGCCGACCAAATATTGGAAAGAGCGACTGCCTCCGGATAGCGGGTGGCATAATCCACCAAGGTGAGTATGTACTTCTTGCCGGACTGCGTACGCTGCATGGGGCCAATAATATCGATAGCTACCACCCGGAAGGGCTCACCAATAACAGGAAGAGGAATAAGTGGTGCCCGATCGTGACGCAGAACACGGGCGGTGCGCTGACATGGTTCACAGGTGGAACAATACTTTCCAGAATCTACACTGGACGATTCTGGAAATGGTGGGACCAGTCCAATTTGCTATCAAGTGTTACACCAAGGTGCTAGTGACGAGGGGTTATAGGTATCGGGGTAGGATCATCGGGGAAATGGAAAATAAAAGTTTGACGATGTGCAACATCTGATGACGCGTTGGGGACGACACACATGGTCTCGGCCTTGGTGGAGTTCGGCCGGAGTTTCCAACTTCGCATCCATTTAACCACACAGTCTATTCCTACCTGCAGGTCTTGACACGCGACGGTTAGCGACCAGTGACTAGCCAGAGGAGTCGTGTCGTCCACATATAGCGAGGTGTTGGGAATTGCACCGATATCATTCACGTACATTAGAAAAAGCAGGGGCCCCAGAATTTATCCCTGGGGACACAAGAACACACGCGTTCAGGGTGGGACAATTGACCCGAGATATTTACTTGCTGTAAGCGACCACACAGGTAACTCTCCAGCCACCGCAGTACATGTCCTGGAATCGAGAATGACACGATCTTAGCCATCAGCCCACGGTGCCACACAGTATCAAAGGCTTTAGGTAAATCAAAGAAGCAGACTAGGCTGTACTATATAGCTACAGTAAAAAAGTATTTCAAGACTACAACGGGTAAGGGATATACAGGAATTTTTCCACACGGGAACGTTGGCGGCCTGGATATACAAAGTTGCATATCTTCAGGGATATTTAGAATATCATGGTTTTCTAATAAAAAAAGGTTGGATATGCCAAGGAAATGGCAACAATACAGCTGTGTGCCCATGGCAGAAGACAAATCAAAGCAAATAGAACAGTTCAGCACATATACAGATTTCAATAGCCTGAATATGATGCCCTCGTAGTCGCCGGTGGTACTCGACCTGGCATATCGCCTCGCGATCACGGTGAAGCTGTAAATTTCACTTCTTGCACATGTAACTGAGGTTCTTCTGGCAGACCCTGAATCTTAGCTGTGTTGCCAACACCTTCTCATTCCCCTCGCCGTCGAAGCAGATATCGCATGGCATATCTGTGGCATGGCCGTCACCAACTTGAACACACACATCATGTGCCATCTTCAGTAGGCAAAACATCGAGCAACATCGCGGCGGAAATTCAGGTGAAACTTCAGGCTCTTCCAGCTTGCAATGTAGTGTCCGAGCAGCTACCACTTACACTTTCAATATATTTGTAAATAATGGCCAGTACCACCTTTCCCAGCGAATCAATGATCAGGTGGTCACTAATACCAGAGATCACTGAATCCCGATTCTACTGTACACAGTGTTGTGACTTATAGTGTATTATGATGCCAGGTGACAAGGTTCTCCTGATTTCTATCAACAGTTCCTACCAGTTCATGCTGCTAAGTGTTCTTCTACAAACTGGTATCTGACACACTACTTGTGCCACGCACCTGCATGTATATTTATCACTGTCGTAGTTTGTAACCTGTCCTTTTCTCAATGCCACAAAGCTAGCTTACCATGTTGTACTGTGCTTCAAAATATCTTTCATTTCCGTTCTTTCTGGCTGGCTTCCTTTCACAAACGCTATCATTTGGTCCTGATCTTTGCTGGCTTTGTCTACCACTGTTTTTCCATTGTCACTACATTCCAAGCTACGGTCGGGAATGGTTTCTAATTTGTTTCGCCAAGGAATTGTTCTAAACAAACAGAAGTATCTTACCGGTGGTCCTTCCGCACACAACAGGAACCTCAGCATTGCAAGCTTTATCTTTCAGCAGGGTCGGTTCACCAAGGTTCGCAACTGAGCAATTAGACTCCCCTCCTCTCACTTTAATGCCAAAGTCTTCCGTAATTAAATCAGCCCCAATGTCTCGGAAGTGAAGCCCATCCAGCAGTCGGGTGTAGCTGGTGTAGACTTCAGCATTGCCAATCATGGGCATTATCACTGGCTCACATGTTCTGAGTTGCGCTGGGCTGACGAGGTGGCCACCTTCTGCCTGGCAGTAGTTCTCGCCCTGAAGCCATGTTTTCTTAAACTTAGTGACCAACACTTGGTAGCCTTTCGCACAATCCATCCACTTCACTGCAATAACACAAAGAAGATTGGCCACAGTTCGTTATGCCAAATATGTGCACTGTAAGGAGATAGCGTGTGTGTGTGTGTGTGTGTGTATGTGTGTGTGTGCGCGTATGTGTTTCTGTGTGCATGTGTGTGTGTGTGTGTGTGTGTGTGTGTGTGTGTGTGTGTGTGTGTGTGTGTGTGTGTGTGTGTGTGTGTGTGTGTGTGTGTGTGTGTGTGTGTGTGTGTGCGTGTGTGTGTGTACTCAACGGGGGCTGCTGCGGCCAGTTCCTTATCATGGTATCATAGCAGGGGTGGACTCGCTGTGCACAAATGTCAGCCTACCTCAATCGCTAGCCAGCCCGGTCCCGCTCCTTGCAGACTCGCCAGAACCGCCCAACAACGGATGAACGTGCCAAGTTTCCACTACTGTGTCAGCACTGCTCTCGGAGATTTCGGCAGTCCAGGGACCTGACCCGGCACCGGTGTGTTTGCTCCTCTCCCTCCTCCCGCAATGGGACCACGTAACCTTTACGGCAGTGGGTCAACAGGACAGGACAGGACAGGTGTGTGTGTGTGTGTGTGTGTGTGTGTTGTTTTTGTGCTCCTTGGGAGCAGGTTACACTTTCTGAGCTCCGTGTTCTTGGCTTTCTCCAAAGTTTTTCTGCCTGCCCAGGGCGACTCTGGCGTAGCCAGAGTCGACCCTGGAGCACCCTCGCACACTGCCAAGGTAGTGCTGCATGATTGGAGCGCGGAATCGCGA